GAGAGGAAAAAGCCTGGAGAAGTGGCTTAAATATTGCATTGTTTAAACAGTTGAGTGAGTTCCTCACTCTTTGAAAGAGATTTTTCTCGGTCTGGGATTTCTTCTCTTTTTTTTTTTAACCTATAATCCAACAAACCTTCAAAATCTTTTTCATTAACTTAGGTGCAAAACTTGTACTTTCAGTCACAAAGTTGAATTCTAGCAAAATATCTTGGGAAGTGACACATAAACCATAGTAAGAAATTAGGTTTGAATTCTAATAAAATAATGACTGCATCTGTTGAAGTGTCAGAAGAGACACTAGTTGACATAACTTAAAGAATGGAGAGACAGGTGAGGGATTTCTGTGTGTCTCTTGGACATTTCCAGTGGTTTACAGCTACAGTTTGAAACTTCTTTAATTAGAAATGAAGTTTTTTGAACATTAACTCTCACATGCAATTGCTAGTTTCAGCTTTTTCATCCAGTCCAAGTCTATGCAGGGCACAAAAGAATTCAGAAGTACATTTCTCACAATTAATCATGTATAGCTACAAGCTGAATAGCAATCTTTTGACTTTGGTAGAGAAGGCTCCACAATAATAACTGTGCACAGTCTCCATGTAAATAGGGACACCTATACACATAAATTGCATACTGTGCATTCAGACATTCTCTCTCTGAAACACACATAGGTGATCTTGGAATGTATTTTCACTTGGCATAGATATAGAAGAGTGACAAAAATTGAAAGGAATACATGAATGGGTTGATTTAAAGATTTATTATTTCTCCGAGGTTCTCTCCAGAGCAACAGCCTCCTACTTTCATCTTGCACGCCTTAAGCACAAGATTAATCTTTCTTCCTCAGATCAGCAGTATAACTTTTCAAGAAATTTACTGCTCCCTTAGCTTCAGCAACAATACGGATGTATCTTGTGTTGGCTTGTTTACTTTGTGCAACCTTCTTCTCTTCCAGCATTCCCACATGAATTTAGCTAAGGGTTCATACAAATTCTCTGCCAGGCCAGCACAGCCACCTTCTTCCAGGTTTAAGATGCGAGACTGCAAATGTGTCCTCTTAGATAGATTTACCTGTGCGACCTTTCCTGACAAAATCAAGTAATTGACGTGCACAACTGCTTTTAGAGGACATTCCTGTAAGTGTTAAGTCAGTACATGAGATATTTAACTTTTCCTCTACTAGAGAAGATAGATGACATCATTTTTCACTACAAAACAAAATTCTGTGGTATATCAGAGCAACGCCAAGGCAATTAAACTCACTGCAGGAACTCTCTGAATTCTCCAGTAATATTACATATCCTTATGAAAAACAGGTTACACTTCCACTGTGATTTACAATATACAGCAGGCAATAACAGTATGCTTATCTTCTGGAAGATACAGTTATTTTCTTTTTTTCTTTTTTAAATGAGAAAGGTAAAAAGAAGCTCTTAGGCTAAAAATATTTTTAGGTGTTGAAAATCAGCTAACAACACAAAATCTTTCATCTTCAGTGCTTCAGACTAAGGCAGTGTCAGGCTGGAAACTATCAGGCTCTCAGAAAAGTGCTCAGAAAATGTTCCATGGCTTTAAAAGGGCCATTTGGCTCAAGAGACGATCACACACAATGGGATTTCTTCCTGGTGTTTGAAGTAGCAGATGCCAGATTTTTGCAAAGGCCTTATAGTTGATGTGGCCCTAAAGAAAATACCTTGTTGGGGTTGAGCTGAGGGGGCAGGAAGGGAGGGAAGGGAACATCCTAACTGATCCACATAATATTTTCTAGGTGGTGAAGATCACCCAACTCAATTTCCCAGAAAAAAAACAAACAACATAAGACTATAACCTCCTGCTTCATTGCACAGGCAAAAAAAATACCAAACTATAAAAACAACAACTTCAATTAAAGAGTAACTTTAAATGATCTAACAATGTCAATGGGATGCAGGCAGAAAATGAGTCTTCAGACATCTTCTAGTGAAGCCCAGATCATTCTACTTAGTATTTGTGATACAGAATTTAATTTTAAACTGAAGACAGTAGACAGAATCTGGATTATGTTGTGCTCAGTTAAAGTGAGTCCTCATTCACTAATAAGGAAGGTGGGGCAGCGGAGTGGGAAGGAAATGAAAGACAGAAAAAGAAGAAACAGTATAATTTCAACACACACACCATCCTGGAAAGTGGAAGGACTCAGAGAGCAGCAATAAGTTTCAAAATGGCCATGTCATAAAGCTGCAGCTAGTGTTCTCTGCCACGTTTGATGGTTCAGTCCAAGAGAGGCGTACCAGAAAGAGGTTGTTAAAGGGTTGCAATGATGACTTTTTCATTTTCAACATTAATTTTGCCTTTCTGACTTTGTTTTCTAAGAAGAAAGACAACACACTATAATCACCAATTCATACATGGAGTATATGGGTTTCAGTATCCTCTGCAAAGAGTAATCACAGAATGTATTTTCATCTTTGCACTGGACATCAGCTTCTCCCCTTCAAACACCAAAACCCACAATTTTCAGAAATCATAAGTCATCTGCTGCCTGCCTCTACAGCTGTGCATTTTTACAGGTTATGAAAGACATCTGGAGATCCTTTCAGAATGAAGCATGCAACGCATAGATTGCAATATTACCTAAGGAATTATGTATCTTACAGCACAGAAATACACTACATTTGCTTAAAAATACCTTTTTTTTTTTTCCAAATTAGGTAACTCCTGACCAGAATTACCTAATTCAGAATCAATCCATCCAGGGAAAAAAAAAATAAGGAGAAAGAGATAATAAATCTGTTGTTTTGTCTAGAGACTCTACTAATGACCATCCCTGCCTGTAGTAGGTAGGTCTGTCTCATGCATCCTCACACTCTCCTCTTCATTTTTACCAGGTTTAGGATCTGATCTTCTAGAGTTGCATCTAGTATGCAGGAGGAAAAATAGTTCTAAAAAGTCATTTCTTATAGTTAATTCCCCAAAAAAATTTTAATTTAATATTTATTATATTATTTTCTTCTTCGTATAGAAGAGGGAGCCGGGTAAGATCTGGACTTTTTACAATCTGTAGGGCAGATGAGGACATTCACACTAGTAATTCCCCTCCTCAACTATCTTGAAATTACTTCTTTCCACTTAGTAGAGAAATTTCTCTGTTTTAAGAGATTCTGGCTCAGAACATATGAAGGAAGTTTGAAGGGATAAGAATTGATCTGAGAAGAAAAATATCCCCCTTAAGAGAGGCAGGTGGTAAAAAGGCACTACCTCCACACTGCTCTTCCACCTTTCTTTCTTGAATAAACTCAAATTTCTCCCTGGGCTGGTTGCTGGCATTTTAGTTACATTGCATCTTCATAATGTCATAGCAATAACTTTGCATTACAAAACATCTGTGTGCTAGAGCACCACAAAGCCATAAAGACCCAATTGTGGTACTTAAATAGACAACTTTTATTCACTGTCATATGTCAAACAAACAAAAAGTAACGTTTCCTTCTGTTATGTTACTCAAAGACACAAGTATTCTTTTTTGCTTTGAGACATTCATGCTTTTTCTGAAGAAATACTCCTAATGAATTAGTTCTTTTCCTTTATCTAAATCAGTGTAGTTTATTTTTTTTACAAGGCAGCCCTGCAGTATATGTCATATTTGATTGCCACAGTTATTAACAAGCCTGCAAGAGCTAACCTGCATGCTCTGATTTTATTCCCCTCTTGGCCATGCCCTCCCATGAAAATCAGTATCTGGTGATTTGGGGTCTGAAATTTATCATAAGGGACCTGATATTTGGTAGAAAATTAAAAGCAATAATGAAGTAACTGACTGTTCCTTCAGGTTCTGAGGGAGTTGCCCAGTCCAATGCTTTTTTTGTGACCCGGGTGGTTTCCTTGTTCCCAGTATGACAAAGCCAAGCACAGCGCACTTGTAAGCGCTGGAAATTCTCTGCGCATATCAAAGAATGCAGCTGCTGCAGTTCCAGTCCGCAGGTCAGTAGTGAGGCTGAGCACATTTTCCAACCAGACACACACATACAAGCACACGCAATCACAGACTGCACAGCCCAGCACACGGAGAGCAGAGCTTTTAACAGCACCGCCCTAAACACCAACATAAGTAAGAATATTGCCCATATGCCGACTTTTCACCACAGTCCCTTTCAGCACGCGCAGGCTAGACCGAGACCCACAGAAAATGGAGAGGAGGATTTAGTAAGGGTAGAAGAGGCATACCTTAAGAAAAGGTGGTATAACGCTGTTGTTCTTCAAATACGCTTACAAAGCTACATAACTTTTCAAGAAATTAAAATTAATCGATTCCTCCCTTGGCACAAAACGAGTTAATAGAGACAGCATTTCTTCCTCTTTAGTTTGAGAATTCTCCTGAAATATGCTGCTGTTAAACATATATTCTCCGTTCAGACTGTACCCTCATGTACTTCAAAAGCTGACATTCATTTTCACTGAAGAATAAGTTAGTTTTTAGAAGAGTGTTTAAAGGAGAAACAGGGAAAAAAAAGCGTTAAACTTTATCTAAAAGGCCTATTTTGGAAATACCGAGGCATACTCAAGTTTGAAGGCGGAGGAATCTACTCTTTAACTACTGTCCAAGTAGTCCAGTAGTACAATTTACTGTACTATTTAGTACAGTAAAGACTTATTTCAAAAGTTCACGCCATCACCAACCATCATGGTCCTCTGAGCAAGATATACCTCTACCCATTGCTTACCCTACACTCACATATAATACTTTCATCTCTGCACATGCTGAAGAGCCTCCCCTCCATCTTGTGTCTTCCAAAATTGAAGATTTTCAGACACAGGACACCTATCAGACAAGAACTGGAGGGAAAACAGATTAATATTCTAACATTAAAAAAAAATACCCCAGTAGTCAATTACTTTGATTTACGTGCAAATATACTTTTTCAAAAACAAACAAGTTTTCTTCCAGAGCAACTGCAGAACAGTACAAAACCTAGGAAATGTGCATTACATGTGCAACCCTGACAGTCTCTGCAGGGCTATCAGCAAGTAGATGAGTCCAGAATTCGGAGGTCGTGGAAAGGCTGGTGCCTCATGAGGACACCATTGCTGACACCAGCCAACAGCTCTAAGATGCTCAGCCCAACACAGCACCAAAACATGTAGAACATGATAAAATGTAGTTGGTCTTCCAGCTTCTTTAGACATCCTTCCTGAAAGAGCTGCTCCGGGTTGTTTAAGTCACCTCTGCAGTAAGAATACTTCTCCCTACAGCAGCTTGCAGGGACACGAGGTTTTTCAGCTGGAAGATGCCAATTAGCTGGCGTTGTCTTTAGCCAGTCCATGTAGTTCTGGACTCCACAACACTGCAGCTCCCTCTGTACCTCATCCACAAACCTGTCACCAGGACCCTGAGGGTGTGACCCATTGTACTGATAGATGAGGGATCTCATAGTGTTTTTCAGATCAGAAGCCATCCAATTAGAGTTAAGCTGTGCCAGAACTCCCAAAGTCATTTCTAGGCAAAGAAGGACCAGCAGCAAGTACATGAAAACTCCTTGCTTGTAGCGGGAGGTCTTGACATTGATAGAGATAGCCAAAACGCCAGTAGGTAGCAAGAAAAATGCAACTGCAACAGCCAGGTAGCCAAGGAGATGCAAGAAATAATCCTGAGATAAATATTTGTAGTTCTCGTACATCAGGATCCCACAGATTCCACCAAAGGCCATAGCTGCAGCGGCAGCCCAGAATACAAAACCTAGGAACCACAGCAGATACAGAGCCAAGGACCTGAGCTCATAGTCCTCATAGTGCCGCAAAGATGACAAAAACGACCTAATTTCCACAACTCCAGCTCTCCTCATCCTGCTCTCTCCTAGCAGCCTCAGCTCTCACCATCACCGCTTAAGAGGCACCCACCCGACTTTTCCAGGTGCAGCAGATGACTTCTCAAAACAGCTTGTAAGAGAGCGACGCTGATGAGATGCTTTCAGCAAAAAGACCGTGCCCTGTCTCAGCTAACCACTTGCTGCTGCTCATTCAGCCCCGCTTGCAGAAACCAGGAGAATATGTTCCAAGCTTGCTGTCCGGAGGTCGTTTACGCTGCTGTCACTGGAGACATTTACATCTGAAATAGGAGGACAGCTGGGAAAAGGTTGTAACTCTTGCTTTATGACTGAATGTAGAGGAATAAAGGTGGTAACTAACAGTGCTCGCTTGGATTGCTTAGACTGCCCCAGTGAAAGAGGTAATCCAACTATCTTACAGCAGTAGCCAAGATGGCAACAAATGCACAAAACATGGTCATTAACGAGCAGTTTAAGCAGAGCTATCCAATCAAGGATCTCCACAGATAACACTCACCTGGACTCATCATCTTTCTCAGTGTTTTTACCGCTCATTAGATTGTATGAGAGGCGTAACGATGCTAATATTTTGCCCCGTTTCAGTCAGCAAGATTTCTGTGTAGACAGCTTCAGTTACTTGACATCTGGAGGAGAAATCCCCCATGATTCCACTCTTGTGCCCCCCAGTTTGGATCACTGGTGATCTGACCAAGTGCTGTAATGACTGAGTAGAAACAACAGTAAGAACTACATTAACTTTTTCTTGAGTGTAAAGAAACTGAATTACACCAGCTAAATGACTTCACAACAATCTCAGAAGGAATTAAGGCCACTTATCAGCCAGCAGAAGTGCGTTATTAGTTAAACATACGGGATAGGGAAACCCCCATAAAAGTTTCCACAGGTGCGAAGAAGGCAGATCCCAAGGCCAATGGTGGTTTCCTAATCATCCCAATGAAGTCCTGTAACATCAATTCTGTTTATCAAGCTGCAGAGCAGGGCTAACACAACAGGCATACATAAGGGAGAAAACAGATAAATGATTCTCATTTTCAGAAACATTAACACCTGCAGATCCTGCAGAAAATCAGAGCCAACACTTATATCCCTGGAACCCTGGAGAGGTCTCAGCAAAGCTGATGATTCCACATCTGCCAGACATTTTACAAGAACCTCTTGCAGTTACATACATTATGCACACACAGACGCTGGGCTGATTCCCATTAAAATGTCTATGTGCTGTACAAATATGACATTAAGACTAATTATTTTGGAATGAGATAAATTGCTTTTATTATTTTAAATCCTGCCATTAACAGTAATTAACATGCAGTGATTAACTTGTTAAACCTTAACAAAATGCTTCTTTCAAATCTTTGTAAGATGTGCATTTTCCTGTAACTATTCTCTGAATAGTCTGTGTGTGCCCTCTCTCCTGCTCAGCTTGTGCTACGCCCAGCCTCCCAGCTGTGTTAGTTTTGCTGCCATTCGCTTATTTTCTTGAATACCTTTTTCTCTGGTTTCTGTGTTCAGCATCAGGAAGAGGGAGAAGTGGGGGAAGCGAAAGGATTTCCCCTCACATCTGTACACACAGGCAAACTACACTGATTTAATGTTTCCAGGATGCAGGAGAAATGAATCAGAAAACTGTGAGGAAATGTGTCAGAAAATAATGTGAGGAGTAACAGCTGCTTATTGCTAGTTTGCAGGCTTTGTGAGAAAAGCACATGAACCTGCCTCTTTTCCTTTCTGCCTTCCCCCATGCTTATCAAGCTTAATGAGGTATTAAGAAGCGAGTTACAACACTATTTACTTCTAGCTTATTCTGCAGTCTCTGAAATATATTAGAAAGGCTCAAACTACCTATAGGAGAATTTTACTGTACCTTTTGTTCATTTCAGCCAGGGCAACTGCCATCCTCTTCCTGAATACAGAGGAGAGAATTTCAATGGTTACTGAAGCTTAGAGGCTCTTATCTTTATAAGTATTCCCCAAATATAACTTCCCATTTACTTAAATCTGACTCTTTGGACCACTGTGAAGGTTTTTGATTTCTTTCACATGTCTGTGGGATGGGAGAGTGGGGAGGAGGGGTGAAGCAGCTTTTGTAAGTGGAGGGGTTTGTGCTGCAGCAGGCTCAAACACTTCAGAATCAGACACAGCAACACTAAATGTTGACTGGGAGCCAGTTTCCAGGTAAGAGCTCTCAAGGCCCAGTGCCATCTGGGGAAATTGAGCATGCTCAGCACCATGCAGTAGTAATTGCTGCAGCGGGGGTTAATATTGGCAGAGCTGGCAATGCATACCAACTCAGGAAAAGAGAGCTTCTGCTCAAAATGTTTGCTGTCTGGTAAGGCAGGAAAGACAAAGAAGGGCAAGAAAAGCATAAAACTTTTCCCTGAAGTACCCAAAAGACCTAACTGGCATCCTCAATACCACTGAATTTGTGCTAAGTAATTTTAACCTGCATTTGTGGCCAAAAGCTTGAAAAAACAATGAGTTGAGGCATACATCAAGAGACTGTACTGTGACAAAGAGATTATAGGTAAGGCAGAATAGGAATGCTCCTCTGATTTCTTTCCAGTGGTAAACAACATAACATGATAAATGTCATCCCTGCTTTCTCTGCAGTTGTTTGTGCTTATGAACTGATGAGTATTGAAATTCAAATGCGGGTGTTATAGATAATACATCTTAGATAAACTACTTTCTGGAATGTTGCTGAAAGTATAATCCCTCAAGTTAATAAAATGCCAATCATGTATTTTTTTTGCGTTCAATGTTCTAGCAAGTCGTGACTAATGTTGAGTGGCTCTTATGTGCCAGGAAGGTCAAAGATGTTTGTTCCTTGTGGATCCAGGAGTGGGACTGGAGAGCTGTCAAGTTGACCTTGTGGTTGTGCAAACCCAGCACAGGCAGATGACTCATCATCATCACGGCTGGGCTTCGCAAACGAAGATATGGGAAAGGCTCTACCCACACTTGCTCCAAGTGTGCTGATGGTTAAAAAAGCTGATGCAGGATAGGCAAGTCCGGCTGCAAAAGGCGCAGCAGAAAGTCTCCTCAGGAGGTATTGGCGAGGCACGGTTCTTCCTGCGTTGTCTTTTCTCCTCGAGACTCATTCTACGTGTGTTCTCAAAGGAGGCAGCAGCACTACGTATGATGTGTCTCCCCATCTCCCGATTGGAGGCCAG